AACACTCTATCTGAAGATTGCAACTGAACATAAAGAAATTGGAAGGTTGTAAAATTTGCTATCTAAACTAGACTAAACTCTAAACTAGTGTTTGAGGGATATTATAGAGAGAGAATTTGTCATTTCAAACTGTACTCTTAATGTAATAGCCCCTTCTTTGTAGAGCTTCTGTAAGCACTTACTGAAAGCTGTTTATAAACTGAGCTGATGGAGGAAAGGCTCAGGTACTAAAACAATGGTCCTCACTACAGATGGCTGTAAACAAAAGGGGCTATGCCCAGTAACTGAAGATATTGATGTGTACATTAAATCTCAAAAACAGTCAAGAATTATGACTTTTTTCTCCAGGGGTATTACCCCAATAAACTCTGATGACCAGGGCAGTGACACGAAAGAAAATGGAAAGGAAAACAACACACCATCAATCGTCTTTTGATCCTTATCACTCTTGGACAGATATTACCAACATCTTGGGTGACATTGGGCAAATGATTTCTTCTCAGCCCTAGGAAGATGGCAAACTGCTTTTGAAAATCTTGCCAAGAAAACTGCATGGACTTGTCCAGGTAGTTGCCAGGAGTCAAGACATAAAGGCAAAAAATAATAGTGATAAAAATCTTAACAGATTACAAGCCTTTTTTTAGGTTTTAATCAGGTACTTTCAAATACTGAATGCATCTATTTGAGCCTTCACACTTACACACGAACTTGTATGGCTGTGTGACACGAACTCTCTATTATAGAATCCCATGGAAGGAATGGAATACACTACCTATAGAGTTCAGCAGCCTAGTTTTTTTAAAAACACATCTCTTAAAAACGAGAGGATTTTAACTGCTGAATTTAATTTGTAAATGATTAATTGTACTTGCTTTCTTTTTTTGTTTTCTTTGCTATTTGTTTTCATACATTAATTTTTTAATTTTTTTATTATACATTTCTGAGAGACTTAAAATCAGAACGAGTCTGGTGGCACCTTTTTGACTAACAAGTTTTATTAAAAGGTGTAAGCTTTCATGAGCTGCGGCTCCCTTTCATCAGATAAGAGCCTTAGAAATTGGTGATATATCAAGTTAAATAAGTGAGCATACTGTATTTACCTTACAGGATTTTTTCCCCCTAAATAATTACCTGCTGGAGGGTAAGGTGCTCATTTTACATTTGCTGATAAGAACAGAAGCTGTTGAAAATAAAGGAATGAATAAGAGTGCAATGGTTGCAGAAATCACAACAACACAGCCCAGATGCCTCTGAAGGTTAGCTGGTAACTTGGAGAAGCTGTTTACCTGGTAATTCAACCCTTTGGTAATGCCTAAACCAAGTTTCTCTCTTTTTCTTGGCCATGTATTACCATCAGTCTTGTTTTTCTTTTTTTATTATTTCTGCAGGAGGGAGAGGAACATGTGTGTATTTGTACTTGCCTACTTGTGTATGTGTGAAACACCTCCAGGTCTCACAGTTCCTGAGCAAAGAATGTCCATGTTTCCACTGCTTAGAGAAAGGCTGGCATGATGGCTGCATCGAATATTCAAATCTTCATTTTCAGGCTGATGTTTTTCTTCTTCCAGAGGCACCACCGTAGGCTGGTGAAAGTTGCTTGAGTACTACTAACTCTTGTATCACTATCAGTAGCTTTTGCAACTATTGATGCAGAAATCAAAGAACCTAGGTATTTGAACTCATCTACCTGCTCAACTGACTCACCTGTTGATACAGCCTTGATCTTTTTTGCATTTATTCATAATCCAACTTCCTCTGCTGTGCTTTTAGTTCTGATTTCTCTATGAAAACAGTATCATCAGCCTATGCTGCATTTGTGAACTTGAACTCCTCCACACATTGAATTCCTACACTCCCAGACTTTTCTCCATTATCCAGTCTATTGACACATTGAACAATAATGATGGTATACACTCTTTTCTCATTTGTGCTTTGTGAAGGAACTGATTTTGTCATCATGCACTTTAACCCTGCCATCATAAGAGGCAGCAATGAACTCAGATGATTTTGCTGAATATGCAGATCACAAAGAGCTTTCCATGTGGACTCCTGGTGAACGCTGTCAGAGGCACTCTTGAAATCAATCAAGACAGCAATAGTTTGCCTTCCTTAATCTTTATGCTCAATTACTTGCCTGACTGAAAATCTGATCCACACTACTATGGCCCAGTCTAAAGCCACATTGCTCTTTCTGGATGAAAGATTCTGTCGTTGGGTGTAGAAGTGCTTGATAACCTGCACAAGGACATTTCTGACTACTATACAGACAGGGGGTTGATTCTGTGATAGTTTTCACACTGTCTTACAGTATCACCCTTTTTAAACATGGGCACAAAAGCAAATTTCCATTCTACTTTCCATACTGCTGAGGACAGCCTAGGAATATAATCAGCTACTATACCCCCCCCCCCACAAGCCTTCAGCAACTCCACAACAACTTGGTCAGTCCTGCAGCTTTGTCATTGCTGCAGAAACCTGTTTTGCTTGGCTTGGTTTCACATACAATATTAGGGGTGGCCCTGGATTATCTAGTTCCTGATCTAATACTCCTGGTGGGTCACAATTTAAAATTAAATCAAAATGGTGTTTCCGGCATTATAACACTTTGGTTGTTTTAACAACTCAACTTGTCGCAATATTGATGGTTGGGCTGGGGCAGCTGCGCCGGTCTGAAAGTGCTTCCAAGGTTGAATAGAGTGTCCATTAACCACCACACCCATTTGTTGCCTCCACCGATCCTAAAAGATCTCCTTTCCACTTTTCAGCTTTTTGTCAATTTGTTTTGTCAGCTCTTTCACCTTTGTTGGAACTGCAAGGTTAACTATATTTTTTCTTGTGTCAAGTCAATGATGTCATCCTTTACCCATTTTTGGCAATTTTTTTCTCCATGTGAGGGCAGATAGTTTTTGTCACTGTGTTTTTGGTGCTCTGACTTCAAACCAGTGACTCAGAATTGAACCTTCTCAATAGTTGTCTGTGGTCTCTGAAATGCATTCCAGAACTGAGGAAACTGGCCCTCTTGTTGGTATCAAACACTTAAAAAAAACCCCACTTACTGTGATTTTAATGATTATTGTTTAATTATCATTATTTTAATATTTGTATTAACTTCATATTGCTTTTTATTGTACACCATCATGAGACAACATGAGTCAATGATATTTTGTCATCATCATCAATTTATCTTTTAGCATTCAGATTTCACATTCTCAAAACACTGAAACTTAACGTTTAACTTAAGGTTACTTTAATTACATCAGCAGGGAGCTTTATAGAACCCTACAATTAAGAATAGTTTTCTAACCTTTTACCATTTCTTTGATATATATTGTTTTAAATTGCTTTTACAGGAGATCCTCGCTTACTGAATGCTTCATTTAGCGACCACTTGTAGTTATTATGGTGTAAAAAAAATAGCTTTGCGACCAATCCTCGCATTTACAACCATCACAGCGTCCCCCGGTCATGAGGTTGCCATTCATGTGCCTCATAAATGGCTTGTGACAAGCAGAGTTAATAGAGAAGGCAGAAGTAAAATCACAAGTTGAGGTCATGTGATGTTTTGCCTAACAACTGAAGGGGAAGTAAGGTCCTAAGCCTGTCAGGGTCACATGATTTTCTATTTAGCGACCACAGTGCTTAGCAACCAAGTTGCTGGTCCCAACTGTGGTCGCTAAGTGAGGACACCCTGTATTTAATAGAACAATTTTTTAAAAAAAAGCTATAACCATTTTTTCCCCTAAAAATTACTTTTATCTCTACCAATTCTGACTAGTTCCCTCAATCAAAATGAAACGCTTTTACTAAAGCATTTCCTCTCTGTGCCCTGGACAGATTTCTCTCAGTAAATAATTAATTGATTGTGCAAATGCAGTAATTAATTGAAATTTACTTCTCGACCCTACATTTGAGAGAACAGAGTAATAATGATTAATATATTTACTGTGGGATATTGCGTACTGAGAAATAGCCTGCCTGCATTTATCTCTTTCATCTGATCCTTCTGATGTATCAGCTTAAGTGCCGTTTCTTCCCTTTCCCCGCGAGCTGGCAAAGAAAGGGCACGAAGCTCGAGGCGTGCAAGGAATGGGCGGGACCAGCCTCGGCAACCCGTTTGCGGGCGATTCGGGGAGGTGCTGCAGGCGTACACGAGGCGGGGCCAGGAGGAGCTACCGACGTCCCTGGAGGACCGGAGGTGGGAAGAGTGGGCGAGAGGGAGTCGTTCTGTCCTTTCCCCCAAGCTCGGTGGTTAAGATGGCGGCTGCGGGGGTTGAGGGGGCGAGTCCGTGACGGCCTGTCCGAAGAACGGCGGTGAGGGAGAAGGAGGCAGAGCAGCTCTGGGAAGCGCCGGGTGCGGCTCCTAAAGCGGGGTAGGGGGCGGCATGTGAGCAGGAGGAGGAGGCGGAGGGCTCTGGCGGGGGCCCAGAACGGGAGGAGAGCGGGGATGGGTCAGCA